AAATTTATTTGAAAATATTGAGCCATGCGTTTTAATGCGTATAGATATAAACGACAGCTACCAAAGTACCTTATGAAACACTTTAAAAACTTTTTTAGGCCATCTTACAGCTTTTTCTTCTAGATCTTTTGAGTTTCTCGATTAGAGTACAGATGTCATATACTAAATCCACTTAGAACTATTTTCCCCTGATTTTCAGGCTCAAGCTCAGCTACAATTCCAACAGCAGCAACAGCAGCAAGATCTTTTCCTACAACAACAGCAACAAGCCCAACTTCCACAATGGCCTCATCCATGGGTTCATCCACTTCCATTCCATCAACCTCCACCCCCACAAGCCCAACCATGGGTTATGCCTCAGCCTCAGCCTCAGCCTCAGCCCCAACCTCAACCTCAATTCTGGGAACAACGATTCGAGCCACCTATGCCCGTTCAGGCACAACCTCAGCAACCAGTGGTTCTGTTCTTCAACCAGCCTGGACCTCAGCCGCAAGCGCCATTCCAACAGGTGAGTAGGTCCGACAACATGTGGTATACGGTAGGAGTACGGTAGTCACACGATAGCAGCCAACGTATCTTCCAAACCTCAAAATATTCCAGCAACTACCAGCACAGCAATTCCAACCTAGCATTGGCCAGCAGAATCAGTTCCCCTTTCCCGTTCAGAACCAGGTAAGCGGCCATAGAGAAATTTCTCATTTTCAAAATTTTTTTTGCAAGAAAAAGTACTTTTAGGCCCCGATTTTTCCCCAGCCATTTATCCCGGACATTAACAACAATGTGAATGCTTTCAATGATAACAACATCAACCCCAAGCCTTGGTACATGAGCGGTGATGATCAGAAATGGCAACAAACCTGGGAGAACACACCTATTAAGGTAAGATAGTATGAGAAAAGTAGATTTCTCTCCTAAGAAATAATCTTATTTTAGATCGAATTCAACCCACATCCAGCTGCTGCCGCTCCTTGGGTAGAGAACAGCGCAGCCGTTGCTGAACAACATCCGGCTCTGCCTCCAGCATCAG